CTGTACATATTTCACACACACACACACACACACACACACACACACACACACACATATATATATATATATAAAACAACATTTTTATTTATTGTTTTCTTAGATTGTATTTATATATATATATACTGTAGTGGTCGACTGATATCGTTTTTTGACAGCCGATGCCAATGCCGATATCTTGGAAAGCAGGGTGGCCGATGGCCGATATAAATGTAATTATTTTAATTAATATTTAAGAATTTGAAATCATTTGAAAATGGATTAAAAAATAAAATTGTAAAATAAACATACTTGTAGGCTATAAACATATGTTTATGTTATAGGCTACGCGCCGTCAAAATAAAAGTCCCGACTCGAATGCATCAGCCAAACAGAAAAACTATATATATATTATTTGAAAAATGCCATATATATATATATATATTGGTCGACCACTAATATACTGTATATATACACATAGAATTATATTTAATACAATATTTTTTTATAAATATAAAAAATTCTATATTATAAATGCATGCAAATCCAAAATAAAAAAAGTATATTTAATATTTTTAATATTCATATTTAATATGAATTTGTTTAATTATTGTGTGTATATATATAATTTATTAAAGGTCAATTAAATATATTAAACAAAATGAAAATATTAAAGCTTTGCATACATTTATAATAATTGTAATAATTTTATTACACTATTTCAATTAATTAGTTATTTTTTTGGAAAAAATGTAACATTTACAAACAAATAATACATATAAATGTAATATTTTTTAATAATTAGCTATAATACAACAGCTACTAACAGCTATAAACCTCAAACAGTTTGTCTGGAAAAACTACCTTGCGATTTTGTCACTGCATGACATCGTAAGCAGCCTCTCGCCCTGCAGAACGCCGTCCCACGTCTGTATGGTGTTACTAGAGCGCACCGGGATGGTTCCCTCTCCAGACTCGATCTTGGTCCTCAGTTGGCCCCTTGCCTTCCTGTTTGGGTGTCTGTCTCCCTGGTCTGAGGAGAACAGAAAAAAAAAAAACCCCAGAAAGAATTAAACGGTGAAATAAACATTTAAAAACACTTACAGGCAATGCTTCTAAAATTATGAATCTACTTCAACAAACCAAGAGATTCAATGAACCAATAACACTAACTTAAAAACAGTAACTGTTTTTTGTTTTGCTTCAACAGCTGAATAATTGTATGATATATAAAGCCAAGCAAAATTATTTAAATACAACACTCGAGAGCAGAATTAATCAGACCACAAGGGGAGTCGACAACGCCAGCTAATTAAAAACACTGATGAAATTTATTTTTGAAATGCAGTCAGATACTCGAGTGAAATTATAATGATATGCGACCTGATCATAAGAGTATCCATCCTGATCTTAATTGAATACAACTATTCAGTTTTGATCATTAATTTCAAACAAGTGTTTGAGTAAAATAACATCCTCACACACCTCCCGCTAGAGCTTGGCTTATTAAAGACTCAGTCTCACCCTCTACACCCGCCTCGTGTGGAGAGAAGATCCGGGCGTCTCCGCAAGGTGATGTGCTGATGTAAAGATGAAACTGGACGTTGTCTTTCAGCCGGTAGCCACGTTTGTCACACTGCGTGAATATGGACTTTTGATGCTCCTCTTTATTGTTACTAAATTTAGAGACAAACAACAGAAAAATTCTTCTCAATTATTGTCATGAACAGATACAAAACTGTATGACTAATTATTTTGACTGCAATTTGAACTTCAAGAAGAAGAATTATTATAGATTATAGAAGTTTTTTAACTTAATTTTCATAAATATTTCAATAGATCACAGCATTTAGTGGTTTAATAAATTGCAAAAGGCTAGCTGACGATTAATCTTTATCACGCACACATTCTGAGCATAAATATTGCATATCTCACATGTACACTGTTTTTGGAACAACTTGAATTACATATAACTTAAAAAAAAAATTATACTTAAATATATCTAGATCTATTCTTTATTCTAGATTTATTATTATTTATTACAGAATACATTTAACATCCATCTATCTATCTGAGATGAATTATATATATATATATATAATTCATCTCAGATAGATAGATGGATGTTAAATTATGTGTGTTGGATGTGTATTTTATATATATATCATTAAACCACAACATAAAAAAGCTATATCACAATTAATCATATCTAAATGCTGAGTGTGTGTGTATATATTTTGTTGTTTGAGTGTGTATATATTTTGTGGTTTATACATTTTTCTATATTATTTTAAATATATTTCCATATTTATTAAATTCAATCACAACATTTGGTATTTTAATAAATTGGAAAATGCCCTGATTCATCTCTATTAATTGTGCATCTCTATTTAAACTGTATACAATAACAAAAAATATTAAATTAAAAATGGTTTATGACTTTAATTTCCCTTCCTGCTAGGCTAAACATCCATCATGCTATGGTGACATATGAGACGCACACAGACACGCAGGGCAGTAAAGGCAGCGTCTCACCTTAAGAAGTGCTCCAGCTGCATGTAGAGATACCTGATCAGGGAGCGACGAGCAATGATTTCAGCGTGACAGTCGTTGAGCGCCAGGCCACGGTCGCTCATATACTCGCCGTTTATACACTTGGTTCCCGTGGAGACGCAGATGACCTCAGCATCCTTGACATCAGTGCCTGAGTTAACAGCAGGAGGAAACACACCAACAGAAATCACACGACATTCTCTCACACCTGAAAACTACTGTACTGAAGTCTAGGAATATCTAGACTTAGGAATCATACGAAATGTATAGATTTAGGTTCTGATTGCTTGATTTCATTATCGATTCTTTTAATAGTAAAAGCATTCTTCATTTCAAGTACATGAAACAAGTCTCATCAGTCCAGTCAGTAAGTGATTCATAAGGCTAATTCATCTTTTTGACTGATTCACAGGCTCGGAGCCAGTTGGTGGGAGAATACAGATGTTTGTTGTTGCGGGCTTTTTTTTTTTATAATGGAACGATTTCTGAATAAGATGTTGTCAGTTCTAAATCCGGTGCAGAACTCTACCTGTTGTCATGACAACACCAGCCAGAACTTTCCGTCGTGCGTGTGGAGATGTGAAGTTGTCAGTGAGCTCACTGAATTTGTCCACTACCAGACGAGAAACGGCATCTGCAAGGACCTGGTAAAGAGCATACAGATGTCAGACTTCACACAGACTGCACTGCTAACATCAGTAAAGCATCAGTACATCCATGACTCGGCTTTAAGCAGGCATGGAATAATCAGAACAGTATAGACATCATGGCTAAATTCAACATTAAGTCATATAAACATGCTTCTTGTCTTATTGTTCAAGACTCACGGGTATGGAAGGCCATTTCAGCCATGGGATTCTGACCCACAATTGCATGCTTTAAACGTGCAATTCTGAGGGAAAAAAGGCAAAATTATGAGATATAAACTCAGAATTCTGACCTTTTTTCTCAGAATTTTGAGTTTATACCTCACCCTTTTTTCTCTGAATTATCTTGCAATACTGTGTTTGCTTTGTCTGTGCCATGGAATAAAAATATATAAAAGGTAAATGTAACAAAACTCCTACTGTGAGAACAAAAGTCAAATTTTATGAGACTGTAAAAATCATTAACTCGCAATTCTGAGTTTATATCTGGCTATTCTAGAGAATTGTGAGATATAACCTCAGAATTGCAAGAAAAAAAATCTAGTTTTTTATAAATTTTTTTCAACCCCTGGCAGAAACAAGCTTCCATAGATGGGACATACAGTGGTGTGAAAAAGTGTTGGCCCCCTTCCTGATTTCTTATTTTTTTGCATGTTTGTCACACTTTAATGTTTCAGATCATCAACCAAATTTAAATATTAGTCAAAGATAACACAAGTAAACACAACATGCAGTTTTTAAATGAAGGTTTTTATTATTAAGGGAAAACAAAATCCAAAACTACATGGCCCTGTGTGAAGAGGTTTTTATCCTCTCCCCTTCAACAAACTTGCTTCAATATGTAATATCCACTTCTCATAATCTAATCAATTCCTGATGGATAAAAATCCAGTCAAGGCTCTACATTTTTTTCTTTTTGAATATGCGATTCCACTAACTGAGCCAAGTAAAAGTTTAATACAGAGTTTTAACATAATATACTGATTTTTAATGGAACAAACAAATTAAATTCAACTGAACCTGCCCCTCTATGGATGACTGTAAAGCAAAATTTACCGCAGACCTCAGATTCACCTTCTGCTGCTGCAATATAATACCAATATTTCATCGAAACCCTTCAGGCACCTCGGTGAATCCTTTCCGCTAACAGTGCCCTCCACTTCACATTCCTTAAGCTCCCTGTTAATATGCTGGAAAATGATTATGCCAGGGAAAAATCAATGGCCGAATGGGCAAGAATTAGAGACATTAGTCTAACATTACTTCCCAAATACTTCGGAGTCACTCGGTTGGAGACGGCTAATGGGAGGTTTAAGCGGAGCGCACTCTCGATATATTATCAAGAGACAGTGAAATCTCCCACCGAACAGAAGGCTGCGTTTTACGCTCATGATAAAACACACTAGTTTCCACCATCATCTTTATTTGCTTTCATTTCCCATTAGCGCCTGGGGACAGATGACAGGAAATTCACTGGCCAACTAGACTCTGACAGATTTCACAGGAGAGCAGCCTAGAAAACCAAGAAAGTGGAAAAAGGAGGCTACCGCAGACATAAAAATCATTTCAAAGACAAATAACATTCTTGAGATTATATAATACATTTTATATTAATAATAGCATAAGTAAAAAATTTTTTACAGTCTAATAATTAAACATTTATTATGGTAATATTATATAATAAAATTAATAAAATTGTATAAATAATTTATAATTTTAAGTGGCAATTACAGTTTAAGTAATTTTCCAAGTAATGGTATATATCAAAATATAATGCCATTTTATGATTATCTTATAAATATTAGATAATTTTATTATTAGCTATTAAGTGCTTTTAAATATAAATGTCAATTTTTTATATAATCCAATGATTACATATAATTATTAATTAGCTATTATATAAACAATTATATTTAACTATATACAGGATTACATTATATGATTTATTTAAAATGGGCATTACCATAAGGTTATTAAAATGTGGCATCATCCGTTACATTTACAGCAAAAACTTATACTGTGCCATAAAACACTACTTTACTAATTACAGTACTCAGACCCTTCTATACGATTTTTCATATCGCCCACTGCTATATCATTCAACCTTCCATTCTGGACATGAGGTCAGTCTGTATTGCCACACTCAATTGCAGGAAAAACATGCCTGAAGCGTGACGATAGTCTATTTAACCTCTCGCCGTCTGGTTAAAACAAATACACCTATCCACCTCAGTTCTCATATTGACATCAGATTCGGGATGGATAATGGGGTTTTGCATTCATGGCGCTGTATCTGTCACGCAGACAGACAGCCCAAGAGCCATCAGCATCAGAGACAAAACATGCCACTGACAGGACTGCTCTTTAATGGACAGGTAGTGGGCAGGCTGAAACTAAATGTTCTTGTTTTGACACGGTTCAGAGGAAGATGTTAATTAAGATTGGGTCGCTTCCAGACCTGGCCTTATCTCAAAAGCAGGATTAACAGAGGATTTTAGAAATGTGTAAATAGACGTTTTCTCACACAAACGCCAGTCGTTGGTCATTTCAGCTCACTGGGTTGCTTCACTGGCAGGAGTGAGCAATATATTGAATATGCATGACATATATCCAATGCTTTGCTAGTGACAAGACATTAAGCAACTTGGTGAACACCATAGTGATTTTTATTTGGCCATCAAAATTTCCTAAAGACAAGTTTAAAGGTCTTTCTTTGTCTCACAACTTGCAAAAACACTAAAAGAGACTCAAGTCATGATTGGTAAGTTTGATTCATTTGAAACAAATGAATCAGTTCCGGCCAATTAAGCAAATCAATTTAGAATTTCAACAATTTGTCTGAATCACTCAAAAATGCTCAGTCTCAACATGAGAAGTTTTATATATAAATTAAAACATTTTAGTAAAAATGTATGAAGATTAATTAATTAGTGCATTTATGTTGGTATATATAATGAAAATGATTAAATCCTCAAAAACAACAAAAAAAATAATGAAATAAGTCAAAACATCAATTTCACGATACGGCAAATAAATAAAATGTGACCCTGGAGCACAAAAGCAGTCTTAAGTCGCTGGGGTATATGTGTAGCAATAGCCAAAAATAAATTTCATGGGTCAAAATTATTCATTTTTCTTTTATGCCAAAAATCATTAGGATATTAAGTAAAGATCATGTTCCATGAAGATATTTTGTAAATTCCATACTGTAAATATATCAAAACTTAATTTTTGATTAGTAATATGCATTGATAAGAAGTTCATTTTGACAACTTTAAAGGCGATTTATTTTGAATATTTAGATTTTTTGCACCCTCAGATTCCAGATTTTCAAATAGTTGTATCTCTGCCAAACATTGTCCTAACAAACCATACATCATCTGAAAGCTGAATAAATAAGCTTTCCGTTGATGTATAAAATCTCAATTTCGAAAAATTGACCCTTATGACTGGTTTTGTGGTCCAGGGTCACAAATATATAAATGAAGATCATCATCAAATGGAATAAAAAAAATAAAGAAAAATGTTTAAGCTATATCACTCAATCCATCCCAATATTTTAACAGAGCTCATCTTAATTTCCATTAGGCTTTGTTCCTAACGAAGACAGCCATTTGTGCCGGTTTTGCGCATCACGTTATAAAGGCTTAGATTATGATCTCTGATAAACTTAAATGGATCAGAAACTTCAATTAAACACTATGAGATGTAAAGGACCGATTTCTTATAGTCATCAGATTGTTACAGATCTGATACAATCAGGCTTTATCAGCCAGTCTGGTGTGTGTGTGCTAAAGGAAGTCGCAGTTTTTAAAGGTTGAAATGAGGTTCAATATTAAAGTCTGAGTTTGTGAAAATATCCACTTTTATTCATCTATAACTGTAATGCAATCTTCTATAACATTTCTTTACCAGTTGAGGCCTGCATTTCTCTAGGGTATAAATAAACCATTACTATTTACAGCTACACAGCTGTTAATAATTAAGGTTAAAGGCCATTTAAGATGCATGGGAATTGATGTGTCTATGTTGTGTTATGTCTAGCTGTTTAAGATCTATTTGGCTTTCGCATTGTGTCTCAATGGTTAACTTCATAGTTCATCTAGTGGTTTTTGAACATGCTTGGTGTGAATGAACACTTAAAGCGAAATTCTGTCATCATTTACTCACAATCATGTTTTTCCAAACCCATGTGACTTTGATTAATCTTTGAAACCCAATTTAAGATATTTTTAATAAAATATTTGATTTCTGTACCTCCACTGAAAGTCCAGGTGCTAGAACAAACCTCATTGCTTCATCGTTTAGATTGAAATAAAAACCTAAATTAATCATATAAAGTTTCGTAACTCTTGGACAAACCATTGCCCGAGTCCATAATCCATAACGCTTTCTTCAATGAAAAAGTTAATTATCTGTTGTTCTCTCACATCAAAATCCACTGATATATTTGTAGAACTGTTTTCGCTTGTAAACCGTCTGTCTGTGCATATTTCTCTCCTGATTCAGGCTGAGATTACTTTTTCACTGGAGAAAGCAATATTATGGATAGAGGACTAGTCTTTTAGCCAAAAGCAACAGTTTCAAGTTAAAAAACCACCTTGATGATGGATTTGTTTATTATAAACATGCATCTAGAGTCGCGTGGATTACTATTGGATTATTGCAATGTTTTTTGCTGTCTGGACTCTCGTTCTGACGGCACCCATTCACTGCAGAGGATCCATTGGTGAGCAAGTAATGTAATACTAAATTTCACCAAATCTATTTCAATGAAGAAACATATCCACTGAACAAACAGTGCATGCCAGGGTTCCTCAAATCTTGCCCTGGAGGGCCAATGCGCTGCAGAGTTCAGCTCCAACCCTGATCAAACTCACCTACCTGTGATTTTCTAATGATCCTGAAGACACTGATTAGTAAGCTCAGGTGTGTTTGATTAGGGTTAGAGCTAAACTCTGCAGGAAAGTGGATCTCGTGGGCCAGATTTGAGGATCCCTGGTGTATGCTATTCTGTGTCACGCGGATACATTTTCTACGTTGTTTACGCTTTGATTTGAACGAAAACAACGTATCCGCGTGATGCAGCTGACACAGAATAGCATACGCTGTTTACGTTCAGTGGATACTCTCCAAAATGGCACCAGGGTGACGCGGAGAAGACGAATTGTTGAATGAAGTCATTATTTTTGTTTTCTTTGCATTCAAAAAGTATTCTCGTAGCTTCATAAAATTACGGTTGAATCCCTGATGTCACATGGATTATTTTACCGATCTACTTGCTACGTTTCTGGACCTTGATTGTGGTAATTACATTGCCGTCTATGGGAGGGTCAGAGAGCTCTCAGAATTCATCAAAAATATCTTAATTTGTGTTCCGAAGATGAACAGAGGTCTTACGGTTTTAGAATGACATAAGGGTCAGTAATTAATGACAGAATTTTCATTTTTGGGTGAACTAACCCTTGAAGGGAAGTGAATTTTCAGCAAATTTTCATTTTGGGCGAACAATTCCTTCACTAAACTTTTTGGATGTTTTGGTTACCTGGACTTACATTGAAGGGACAGAAAATGACCACAGAATTAAAATTTTAGGGTAAACTATACATTAGTCATTATGTGTAGCCTAGTTTTCAGGCCAATATGAAAGACTTTGTAGAGTCTGAGGTGTAGATCTCTTACTTGCGGCAGGTGCAGCTGTAGCCCCTCTCTCGGGATGGGTTGGCGCGACGGGGTCTGGTCCAGTTGCATGTTGAAGAGCGCTGACAGAGCGGCTTGGGCAGCCCGAGCTTTAGCAAGTTTCTTATTTCGGCCTGAGCCCTCAAACGTCTGTGAGTCCACGGTCACCGACATCACAAAGTTCTTAGCGTGGCTCTCCCCGCTCTCCGACACAAACTCGTATTTGAGGCCTGGCCGCAGCTCGTTGAGAATCATGACAGGGTTTTTGCCGCTGGTCGAGGAGGTGAAGGAGGAGGGCGGCGGCAATGGCGCCTGCATAAGGCTATTCGTACCTGGCGCCTGGGGCACGGGATACTCTCCCAGCGGTTTTAAGGAGCCGTTGCCGTTGGAGCCCAGAAAAAACGTTTCCTCGGACGATGCCGGCGTCTCAAACCCATTGAAGAGCATGTCAGGGAAGTCAGCCTGGTCGGAGGTGAAATCCGTGTTGACTGTGAGCGTACGGCCCATGGCCATGTGCGCCTCGGATGCGTTTGGGAACTGCACAAAGGAACGCAGGGCCTTCTCAGCGGCGTTTAACTTGGCCTTTTTCTTCGTAGGCCCCGAGCCCTCGAACAACTGACCGTTAACCTCAACGGTCATGACAAAGACCGGCGCATGGACCGGGCCGGTCTGCGATAGCAGCTTGTACTGCAAACCCGGTTTGATCTCATTCAGCTGCATCAGGGCGTTCTTGGGCAGAACCGGCCCTGGTGTTTTCTTACGTTTCTTGGGTCTGAATTTGGAGTGCGCGTGACCATTGTTGCCCTCCTCCAGGGGTCGCTTGCGACCCCCTCCTCCACTACCATTAGGGAGCTGCTCCACCAGGCCACCTCCCTCCTTAGAAGAGACGTTGTCCAGGTTGCGGTTTTCCTTTACGTCGGTGCTGCATGAACCTGCGGTGCCCAGAAAGAGTAACTTACAACGCCTTCGTTGCAGGATCTTGTAAATGTAAAATTTATAGATTCCTTTATCTTTCTTTGTAACCGAACAAGTGATGTGTGTTCCTTTTGTTGTGTGTGCCGAGGGAATCTAGCATGACACATTTTTAGAATAATCTTGTGAAAAATCATTATGAGAGAAATTTCAGAGATGACACGGAGCAAAAAAAATATTTCAAGAAAAAAAATCTCCCGATTAATTAACATAATTAAGGAAGACCATGAGGTATAAAATCGAAATGATCATAATCATCAGTTTAATTTAAAGTACAGTTTTAGTTTTGCAGGCAATGGCCCGTGCAGAGTCAATCAATCATCTCGTTGGAGATAAAATATGTATTAATAGAGAACAAAAGCAAAGCTTTAAAAAGACTAATAGCTACTTAAAAAGGCTATTTTTGAGGGATGACAAATGCACTTTCAGGTCCTTGAATATAAATAGAGGTTATGAAAAAAAACTAAATGGGTGCACAACAAAAAAGTTAAATATTTGTAAAGTTTTTAGTATGGCGTTTTGTGAATATCTCTCCATCAACCCATCAAGCATCATATTTCGACCCAAAATCAAATTAAATAAATACTGCAGTCAGTTCCTTTAAAATACGAAAAATCAATAAATAAATAAATAAACAAACAAACACAGACAAGCCTACATGCAATTATTAGGTTTGGCACTTTGTGTGGATGTCATTTTATATTTATGTAACAGTGCTTTTCACTCCTTAAGGTTTTAGAAATCTAATTAAATAAACACTAACAGTATAAAAATATAAATGTATAAAAAATAAGGCAACATATTCAATTGCATGCATTAATGTGTTAACTGTGACAGTAAAAACAATTAAAAATAAAATAAAAGCTGGCCTTAAAATTATGTTGGGTTTAATTAATATTATTTTATTTTGATGTTTGGGTGAAATAGAACCTAGACAATTATTTTCATGAGACTTATCTCATGTATTTATATTTACAAGTCACAACTGTTTTGCCGTAATAAGCAGATGAAACACACATCATCATGTCCTGTTCACAAAGCTGATGGAACTTTGGCTAAATTTTCATTTATAACATCCTTCAGCAAAAGCTCGCTAGGTTACTGCTTTCAGTGCTCTGGTAGAGAGAGAATAGCATCCGTGAACAGTAGGGGAACAGAGTAAGAGCTCTCTGCAAACAGTAGGAACGAGAGTGGATAAGGGAGTGGGTGCAAGGCAGGAGGAGAAAAAAAAAAGACATCTGAGAAAGAGAGAAAACCGTGTGAGAGAAAACATGGCGGGGACAAGAGAGAAAACATGGAGGAGAAAGAACCAAAGAGAGATAAAAAGGGAGAGAGAGAAATATACAAAACTGTCTGTAGCAAAATCTGAATAATCAAAACCCTTCTTATACGTGTGAATGCACATATCCACGTTATACACACACACTCTTGTACTCTTCAGCTCGTGTAATCAATTTGACCACATGCGATCAATTCCGGCCTAAATGATGGAAAGCACACTCTTGATAAAACAACAGCTTTGTTCCAAAACCTAGTGAGCTGCCTACTTAGGTGGCATTTTAAAGCATCATATGCCACCCAAAAGGTACTGTGTGCATATTCAATCTCATAATTCACTGCAACAAACTGCATCAGCTATTATAATACATTCAGAAACAAAAAGTATCAACAAAACATGCCATTTAATTAAAATGGACTATTTTACACAATATTTGTGTTTAAGTATTTTTATGCTTATAAGAGTAATGTTAGTGCTGGGCGGTATGACCAAAAATTTATATCACGGTATTTTTCAAAATTATACCGGTTTCACGATACATGACGGTATTTTCTTTTCATGCATGACCGGGTGTTAACCATATTTTCTACTGATTGAGAAAGGAAATACTGCAGTATATTGACTTAGAATGCCCTATTTTACTGTCATGATGAGTGAATATTGTGAAAACATACCACACTAAATAGTGACTAAACACGACCCCTTTTAATACATGTTAACCAGGAGTCACACATTTATAAATCGCGGCATCGTCTGATAAAATCAACATGCATCTACACTAAAGAGCGGCTATTTTGGCTATATTACTTTTTTGTCTCTATTAGTTCTACAGCTTCAGTTTCGGATCTTTCACGCTTAGTAACACGTACAGCTGTTCCCTCACCACAGTGCAACAGTGAAAAGGGAACCCCTTTCAAACAGTGTCGCGTTCCGAATGTTGTTTAAGCGACATACACCGGTATTCCGGTATTTTAAAAATTCATATCATAACAAAAATAAATACCGGTATTCGGTATGAACCGGTATACCGCCCAGCACTAAGTAATGTGTCAAATAATTCATTCAAATCTGTGCTTTGTGTGAGGATCCCTACTTGTATGATGCACCCCATCTAGAATGTTACAAAAGTGAGGTTCGATTTCAATTAAGATGTGACCATAGAAGTAGACAGCAAGGCAGGTCGCTAGGTTTCAGAATAAAGCCAATGTTACACGAAAAACAAAGAAACCCCAAAAGATTTGTGCAATGCAACTTAACTTTAACAGCCCAGGACAAACAAAAACAGCTTAGAGATGTTCAAGCTCTCTGTTTAGAGAGCTGCCCACCTTCAGCTGAAAGAAAAATCAATCGCACACGCTGAGAAAGCATAAAACTTACAGTTCTTACAGTTGGCAGTTAAAAACATTGCCTCACTACGTGCTATACATTTTTCAAAGTTCTAAATAAAACAGAATATTAGAGTGAGTTTTACAAGAAAATACTATAATTTTAGTCTTTCTACTTCAAAAATTTTCATTTAATTCATTGTTACTTGCTGATTCTTTGCAATTATTTGTGAAATTTACTAGCAATTTCTGAGTGAAAATCATTCCTACTCCAATTTTTTCCTAGTGCATGTAAAAGCAAACATGAGCAGAGGCACCGGCAGTTTAAATCACATAGAAACAGGATTTTTTCCTCTAGAGCCATGCACTTTAAATGTCCAGTAACAGTGAGGTGCACTGGCTACTTTTGTGTGGCCACCATGTTGATTCACAAGCTTTCTGAATTTCCTATGGAGGAAATCAATGGAAAAATACTGGCTGCTAAAAAAGTGGGCCAAAAAAACAACTTGGTGCTGAAAATCTGGTGCTGAATGAGCGCATATAACCATCACTCCTGCCAAGCAATGAATTGCTGTGCATAATACTATAGTTTCCTGCTCCTAAAATCTATACCTGATAGAGAAATATGCACTGTCACAGGTAGAAAGCTTTTGAATATCAAGTAATGCTTATCTGCAGAAAATCTAAATAAGAAAGCGTCCGCTTCACTACAGACCAGTAATAAATGACGGGACCCTCCATTGTCCGTGGCTCTGAACAGATGCGGCTGAGTGACAGGACAATAGAGGGTTACATTTCCTTTGGGTTAACAACTCTTCCCAGAACCTTCTATTCACAGCACTGCTGAATGAAGAGGAACGGGACTCAAGAGACACGGAAAGAATGCTGTGCATTTCTTGAATCCGATCAGTCTTCTTTGATCACATTCAATCAAGTGAAGTCCAATGGATTAGGGAATGCAGCATTTTTATGATATACTCAGGTTGATGGTTCTATTTCTTTTGTCACCTTGTTTTAAAACACGGTTGACAATTTTTTTGTTATCTATAATGTGTTTTCAATTATTTAGCTACATTTAAAATGTGCAATGGCAAAAAAAAGTACATAAAAGATGCTTAAAGTCATAGTTAAGCCAAAAAATACAATTATCCCATCATTCACTCAATGTCATCTCATTTTTATGTCCTTAAAATAAAAGTTAATGGGGTCCAATGCAGTTATCAATTTTGGGTGAACCACCCTTTTAAACAAGTTTTAGGAAGTAATTTGAAATTATTTTCATTATGTTTTCTGGTCATATATTTTCAGGAGCATGCTGTGCTGTATGTGAATAAACCTTGCATACTGGATGTCTGATATATGGTCAAATTAACAAATACTTCAATATTTATATTCATCAAGGACATTATTGTCAACCAAAATTTGTTGTTTTTGTTATTTCATTGACTATTAAAAGCCATTTCAGTCAGATGAAAACATACTACAATAATCAAAACGAAGAGTTATTTTCATCCAAAAAAAAAAATATTGAATTGTGGTCTGCATAGATTTTTTGCTTATTTTTTTAAACTCCATGCCAGATTCTTTCATCTGTTTTCATAGCAAAAAATCTAAACTTGATTTAAACATTTTTAAATCAAAACTAAAAGACATTTAAGACCCATTTTCCCCAAATATCCTAAAACTAAATTTGGATTAACTTGGAAAAAAAAACTATTAATGGTATCAACAGAATAAAACCATTCTCTCAGATGAGTAGAAAATCCCAATCCAATAAAATATTTTTGTCAGACAAAGAGCTCATATAGGAGGCTTTCTGAATGGACTGAAGATTCTGGCCATGTTTAAACCCTCGTATCAGCTGGGATTGTTCGGCGTGAGGGGCGTAGAGAGGGACGGGAAGGCACATGAACTGGTCACTAAGTGACACATTAGTTAAGGGGAGTGTGCAGGGCTCTGTGCTGGAATGGAGGGTTCGGGGTTCAGATACGAGCACTCACTCATGTTCTCCTCCTCATCAACATCCATGGTGGTGAAACGCCTCGACTGGCCCTGCGCTTGCTGAGCCATGGCCACACCTGCAACACAGACACATCATCATTAGCACTGTTTGCTAAAGTAAGCTAAATGACTATAATCAGTTACTTTAGCTTAACATTGGGGTCAGGGATTTGTACAAGAAGCATTAAACACACCTACACCGTTTGCACTACAGACATAAACGTAGCCTCAGACCTTAAATAATGTGGCTTGTTGAGGAGAACTGTGCTATTACTTCAGATTTTTTTTACCTGGTGGATGGAAAATACTCCACAGACTTACATATGCTGTAAATATATATGTATCCCAGGGTTGGTAATACTTTCGAAAGAAGTCTCTTATGCTCACCAAGGGTGCAATTATTTGATCAGAAGTCCAGTAAACACAGCAGTGCTGTGAAATATTACAATTTACATTTTAATATACTTTTAAAATGTAATTGATTCCTGTGATGAAAAGCACCTGGTGGATGGAAAATACTCCACAGACTTACATATGCTGTAAATATATGTATATGTATCCCAGGGTTGGTAATACTTTCGAAAGAAGTCTCTTATGCTCACCAAGGTTGCAATTATTTGATCAGAAGTCCAGTAAACACAGCAGTGCTGTGAAATATTACAATTTACATTTTAATATACTTTTAAAATGTAATTGATTCCTGTGATGAAAAGCTGAATTTTCAGCATCATTACTCCAGTCTTCAGTGTCACAATCCTTCAGAAATCATTCTAATTGGATGCTCAAGAAACATTTCTTATTATCAATGTTGAAAACTGTTGTACTGCTTAATATACTTGTGGAAACGTGATCTTTTTTTTCAAGATTCTTTTATGAACAAAGTTCAAAGAGCAGCATTTATTTAAAGCAGAAATCTTTCATAACACATTTTATTTATTTATTGAAAATCATTTCAAATTCAGACTGAACCCCAAATGGATGAATCAGAAAAATCATTCATACTGATTTGTGAACCAATTTGACTGATTCAAACTGGTTCAACCGAAAAGAATGGACTCAAAAGAACAAATCATTCACACGTATGGCATACGTTTTATTCTACACATAAGCAAAAACTACAGCATTATAGAAAATGTAAATGCCTTTTCCATGTCTGGAAAATACAATTTAAAAATTCCCTCATACTACCAAAACCGTTCCCATGACCGTAGGAACCACGTGAATAGTAAAGTGACAAATTCAAGAAAACAAACACACTCTCCTCCAAATCATTAGTCTCACTGAAAATGACACTTTACCAAAAGATCTGGTGTTGCAAGTACCAAAGAGAGAGTATTGACAGTCATATAATGTCTCTAAATAATGGCATCATGCATCCCGATCTGCTTTAATTAGACAGGCGAGTGGAGCAGTGTGAACAAGAGGAAAAGAAGAGGAGAAGAGAGGTGAGAAGAGGACAGAAATGAAAGACGAGAGCAGAGAATAGGATAGAAGAGGAATGAAACACTATTGACTGTGAGGTTAAGCCTACAGTAAGTGTATAAATATTCAGCAGGAGAAACTAATCTAGGAGAAAAAGGGCTGTGCTTGACAGGCCGTAATAGCAGGAGCAGTCTATTGTGACTTTAACATCCATTCGATTAGACCTCATCTTCAGCTGCCTCGGAGGAAAAATACAGTTATTGACATCAACGGGCTTTTAGACCCCTTGACACGGATGCCGCTTGAGCTCAGGTGAAAAACACAACACAAACACATGAGGAAATTTCAACATTCCATTAAAAAGAGTTCATAATAGAGTGGAGATGCTGGGCTGCGTTGACTTGAGGCTATAGTGAAGCGGCTTTTATACAGCGATGTGACACAGAGCCGATACGGAGAGCTTCTAGATTAACTGAAAGAAAAGACGCTATCAAGGAAATAATGTCAGTATTTCTGCTTTCTGTTTCTTCATAGACACATTTTAAAGGGATAGTTCACGGGAAAAATGTAAATTCTGTCATTATTTACTCACGTCGTTCCAAAACTGTATGACTTTCTTTCTTCCGTGAAACACAAAAGGTAAATTTACAGTAAAAACATCTGAACTACAGTAAAAAAAACAAAAAACAAACACAATACAAAAAAAAAAAAAACTGTTGATCAAATTCTTCACCCTCTATACAAGGATGCCTAAAAAAACGAAAAGGGGAAATCTATTTAAATTCTAATGAAGTTATATGGTGAATCTAATTAAGTTACAGTTGAGGTCAAAAGTTTACATACACCCTGCAAAATGTTAATTATTTTACCAAAATACGAGGGGTCATATAAAATGCATGCTATTTTTTTATTTAGTTCTGACCTGAATAAGATATTTCACATAAAATATGTTTACATAGTCCACGAGAAAATAATAGTTTAATTTATAAAAATGACCATGTTCAAAAGTTTACACATGCTTGATTCTTAATACTGAATACTGGGGGGGGGGGGGGGGGGGCTAAATGACTATAATCAGTTACTTTAGCTTAACATTGGGGTCAGGGATTTGTACAAGAAGCATTAAACACACCTACACCGTTTGCACTACAGACATAAACGTAGCCTCAGACCTTAAATAATGTGGCTTGTTGAGGAGAACTGTGCTATTACTTCAGATTTTTTTACCTGGTGGATGGAAAATACTCCACAGACTTACATATGCTGTAAATATATGTATATGTATCCCAGGGTTGGTAATACTTTCGAAAGAAGTCTCTTATGCTCACCAAGGTTGCAATTATTTGATCAGAAGTCCAGTAAACACAGCAGTGCTGTGAAATATTACAATTTACATTTTAATATACTTTTAAAATGTAATTGATTCCTGTGATGAAAAGCTGAATTTTCAGCATCATTACTCCAGTCTTCAGTGTCACAATCCTTCAGAAATCATTCTAATTGGATGCTCAAGAAACATTTCTTATTATCAATGTTGAAAACTGTTGTACTGCTTAATATACTTGTGGAAACGTGATCTTTTTTTTCAAGATTCTTTTATGAACAAAGTTCAAAGAGCAGCATTTATTTAAAGCAGAAATCTTTCATAACACATTTTATTTATTTATTGAAAATCATTTCAAATTCAGACTGAACCCCAAATGGATGAATCAGAAAAATCATTCATACTGATTTGTGAACCAATTTGACTGATTCAAACTGGTTCAACCGAAAAGAATGGACTCAAAAGAACAAATCATTCACACGTATGGCATACGTTTTATTCTACACATAAGCAAAAACTACAGCATTATAGAAAATGTAAATGCCTTTTCCATGTCTGGAAAATACAATTTAAAAATTCCCTCATACTACCAAAACCGTTCCCATGACCGTAGGAACCACGTGAATAGTAAAGTGACAAATTCAAGAAAACAAACACACTCTCCTCCAAATCATTAGTCTCACTGAAAATGACACTTTACCAAAAGATCTGGTGTTGCAAGTACCAAAGAGAGAGTATTGACAGTCATATAATGTCTCTAAATAATGGCATCATGCATCCCGATCTGCTTTAATTAGACAGGCGAGTGGAGCAGTGTGAACAAGAGGAAAAGAAGAGGAGAAGAGAGGTGAGAAGAGGACAGAAATGAAAGACGAGAGCAGAGAATAGGATAGAAGAGGAATGAAACACTATTGACTGTGAGGTTAAGCCTACAGTAAGTGTATAAATATTCAGCAGGAGAAACTAATCTAGGAGAAAAAGGGCTGTGCTTGACAGGCCGTAATAGCAGGAGCAGTCTATTGTGACTTTAACATCCATTCGATTAGACCTCATCTTCAGCTGCCTCGGAGGAAAAATACAGTTATTGACATCAACGGGCTTTTAGACCCCTTGACACGGATGCCGCTTGAGCTCAGGTGAAAAACACAACACAAACACATGAGGAAAATTCAACATTCCATTAAAAAGAGTTCATAATAGAGTGGAGATGCTGGGCTGCGTTGACTTGAGGCTATAGTGAAGCGGCTTTTATACAGCGATGTGACAGAGCCGATACGGAGAGCTTCTAGATTAACTGAAAGAAAAGACGCTGACAAGGAAATAATGTCAGTATTTCTGCTTTCTGTTTCTTCATAGACACATTTTAAAGGGATAGTTCACGGGAAAAATGTAAATTCTGTCATTATTTACTCACGTCGTTCCAAAACTCTATGACTTTCTTTCTTCCGTGAAACACAAAAGGTAAATTTACAGTAAAAACATCTGAACTACAGAAAAAAAAAAAAAAAAAAAAAACTGTTGATCAAATTCTTCACCCTCTATACAAGGATGCCTAAAAAAACTTTTTGAATTTGAAGATCAGAATAAATTTGACTTATTTTGTCTTCTGGGAAAGACGCAAGTATCTTCTGTAGCTTCTGAAGGGCAGTACTAAATGACAATAATTATAAATTTAATTTGTAAATCAAAAGTCACGGTCTGTAATAACTTAATATATCAGTGACATAAATAAATAAAAAATTATGATGTCAAAGACCAAACCATTGAGCAACACCTTCACCTATCAGTCCTAAAGCACAGACGCTCTATGTGAGATGGAAATCCAATGAAAGCCATTACAAAGCACATAAAGCAGCCAATCACAGCTCTCTGCTTTCGCTCTGGCCCATTCTTCATGGGCGACACTTTCTTAAGCTAAACTAAATGGCCTAATTAATCTGGTCTAATGGTGGGTGACATCAAATATGCTACCACAATTATTATCCTATTAAAGATTCATATTCTATAAGAAAATTGAAAAGAGTCAGGGGAGTGGTGTTGTGGGAGTATTTGTCTGAGCAAAGCTGAAATTTCAGCAGGCGTCAAATGGCTCCTTGATTTTTCATCTCTCTGCTCTTTTCTGCTCTTGCTGGTCTGCTAATGGTCTATGGTGTAATGAGCGACTTAGAGACTCAGGCTCGTTTTGTGTGTGTCGCTTTTGATTCAGCTTCCTCTGCCGTTCTCATTTTACCCATGAATCCATAAACAGCATTGAAATCAGCTTTAATCTACAAGTGGTAGACACAAAAGCGCAGGAAGGGTGCAGCTGGATGTGTCATCGGCATCAAGCAC